TAACTGTTAAGTACACTGCCACCTAGTGGCACTGTGATGACCAAGGGATGATTTACTTTCTGCAGAATTTGTTATTAAATTATATAGTATATGCCTCGCTGCCAATCAGCAGTGATGGGAGAGGCCACCAGGAAATCACCTCTTCAAGCCATGACCAAACCATGGAAATTGCTTTGTCTCACTGTGAGTTAAGTAGACCCCTATATATGAGGGACTTGTTCCAACATTTTCAGCTTCTAAATCATACCTTGGAGAAGAACCTGCTTAGGCCCAAAAACTTATCAATTCAGAACCAGCCTCACTTAAAATTAAGACTGCGGGAATAGTGTCAGATCCTTCAATGAGACAGGTCATCCTGGCACTATGCACTGAGAAAGTGTGAGCGTGTTTAAAGTTACTACATTAGTGAGACTATCCTGCCCATTCACATGCCTCAAACATAGAAATCTATGAGTAAGTCTGCTCTATGGATGCCCCAAGGACCATTCTCAAGCATGCTGCAGACTGAGGTCCCAAGAACAGCTGCAGAGACGCACCTAAATTAGCTTCCTTGGGGTTCTTCTCGGATCATTTCAGTCTGGACAAGATGCTGCTGTAGCACAGGCCTACCTTATTTGTCTACGCTCATTTGGAGGTGTGACTGCAGCCCAACAAAGACATGGGGACATACTTAAGCCACTAGCCCATATTGAAATCCATGCTGCTCCATCTGTTCAGCTATTGTTACTTAAGCTAACTAGATTAAATCTAAGGTGGTTATTCCTACTCATACTGGCATCATATCTCTGGGCAGATGTTGCAGCAGAAGTCTTACAGTGCTACTGCAAAACGTACATTATAAAATCCTCTGAGTAGTAGGTCAGAGAAGATGTTTCAGAGCTATATGAAAAAGACACTATGAAAAGCCTTTATTTTTCAAAGCAGCAGTGTAATAACTGTAGCATAGTGCAAGAAGGAAATATAAAAAAGCTCTAATAAATGTCTCTAAAAAATGTCACAAGTGCCAATTCTATACAAACTCCTTGTGCAAAAATTGGTGAGATTTAAAATCACCATACTTAAAAAGCATAGTTAAGATTATATGTTTGTCAGGGTTGAACATCACAAACTTTCTGTCAGATGTTGTTGGCAGCAAAAAAAAATCCTATTCAAATGTCTTAGGGATTCCTTCTGGAAACTTAACAAGTAATGTTGGTTCAAATGCTCACTCAGCAACTTGGAAAACTAAACACTTCCTTGGGTATCTCAGACAAAACTACTTTCCCACATGCAAGCAAAGAGCCCAGGGATACAAACCATGCTGTACCTTACTAGGAGAAAAAGATAACCAAAAAAAAGAACACCTTTGGAAAGCCAGCAATAATAAACCAACTGGACCTACAGCAAGTGAGTCACCTGGCCTCCTTCATTCCCCAAATATTCTTTTCATGCAGCGCTCATGAAAAGTGCCAGGCTGACAATGGTGATAACTGAAATTCAGGATTTATCTACTGAATTGATATACCAAGATTTGCTAACTCTACTGAAACAATTTCACTTTTGCCTTGACTTAGAGGGCCCAGGCTCCAAAGCTGAGGTGGCAGGTGAGTCTCCATGCTCATTAAATCACTGTCTTCAGTTGACAGCAAGAGTAATTAGTAAGCAATTAGCTGCAACTGCCATGTGGAGACCTGTCCTTTGAAATGATCTAGCTAAGTCACACCAGCAAAGAGACAGTAATTAGGTGGTAAAGCTTTTAGATTAGAACCAGCAATCTAAAACTGAAGGCTTAACTTTTCACTTCCCATTCCCTTGAGTCTACCCACCCCCAACTGTGATTTTCACCTTCTCACAAAAAAAAATATGAGTTATCTCTGTTTAATTCTGATGAAAACAATATTTTTATCAAATTTTATCCCTGCATGCACTGCAGAACCAGCTCCATGATGACAGGATTAAATTCTGATCTCAGTTACAACTCTAATCTCATTGTCCCCAGTGTGGCTGCAGAGATGTATAAGAAGACAGAAAATATCCAGCAGGCCTGTGCAAAGCGGCAAGTATTCACTTTGGATTCGGATTCGGCCAATTCGGAGGACAGTGATTCAATTCAAAGATTCGAATCACTGTCTCGATTCAATTCAGCCGAATTGGATCCTAAAGATTCGGTACTGCTTCAGAGATTTGGCCATAGACTAAACAGGCAGCTGACACAGCTGCCTCCAACTGGTAAGTCTGTTGGGGTTGAGAGA